TGGCCTCACAAAAAAACGACGCTTTATCAAAATTAGATGTTAAGGCTGTGCGCTTCATCAGAAAATTTTTTCCTATGAGAAGATTTTGCTATTGGTGGTTTTTCTTTAATATTCGGGGTCACAATTTCATCAAAAAAATTTGGATTATTGAGCGGTAGAGTCATAATGAATATACACTATGCGCTAAAATCGCGCAACAATGACAAAAAAGACGTAAAGTATGTAAACAAAATGTTTGTGATTTTTTCTTGCCTGTTACCTAATTGATGGCCCTGGCGCCGCTATAAGTGTTTGCGTTAGATCCTTATAATCACTTCAAGTGTCGCTACTCCCTGTTACAAAAGGCAAATCGTTGCGTGTGCGCGCCGAAATGTGGTAAACAAGGTGGTTGTTTACGAGTTGCAAAAGTGGGAGGGATCGATGCGAGCAAGAACTGGCGCAAACAACATCGATGGTCCATGCATTGAGACCAAACATCTGCTTTTGAACGCTGAGAGTGGCTAGCTGCTCTTCATATGTACCTCTTGAAATTCGTAAATTTGAGTATATTTGTTTCCTCGATAAATTCCCGTTTCATCAGCAATTATATTACCCAACTTTTTCTTCTCAAAAAATTCCCGTTACAGCCGCAGTTGAAGTAGTGGACCTTAGGTCGGAGTGGTGAAATAATTCTCCCATTTATGTAAATTCCCGTTTCATCACTAGTTAATAAAGGGAGATTTTTCTCAAATAAAATTTCCCGTTTCATCAGTGGTTGAAGTAGTTGAATCTCTCTCCTGAATCTGTTTCCGGACTAATTTCCCGTTTCACAAGTATTATAAATGCTTGTATAAAATGCTGTGCTCGATGCACGCAAATTTCCTTTTTTTCCAGAATTTTCTAATTTCCCGTTTCAGTACAATGATCCAGTCAATAATCTCTGCGGTCACTGGCGAGAAGTCGGATCCTAGCGATCTGCAGCTTGCGAACTATAAAAAATCAAATGTGAGGAATCAACATTTCAATTTTGCACAAATCAGCACAAATTAAAAACTTCCAGAACCCGAAAGTGATCAACATGTCGAATGGATGTCCTATCTACGATAAGAGAAATTCGCTTACTGTTGGACCACGGTAATGATATTTTCTACTCCCTAGTAGTTTGTCCGAATTCGTAATTTTTATTTAGTGGCCCTCAACTCATGGAAGATATCGTTTATCTTGACGAGATTACCCATTTCGATCGTGAAAGAATTCCAGAGCGAGTTGTGCATGCTAAAGGAGCAGGTGAGCACACGATAAAAAATTTATACAAAAATTTTGGCAGTTTTTTTTTCTGAAATGCAGAATCCATGCTGAAGTCGCGAGAAATTGTTGGAGGTATCTGCAAGCGACAGTTGAGTAAACAAAGAAGAATCGCGAAAACATCCATCATGACTAATGTCATATTTACATCTTTTGCTCACTATTCGGTTCCTTTGACAGATTAGAAGTTCCTGGAGCGATCTTGTTTCTAATTTCTGCCGACGATTTGTTTACAAAATCACATAATCTCGAACCAATCCAAGATCAACTAAGATTAGTAGGGGATACCTTTTGATAGTTCAATTCGGCTAGTACGGCTCAAGCAAATTC